AGCAGTATCACTATCTGAGAGGGAACAGCGTCCATGTGGGTCATCACATGTGTTCGAGGTTAAAAACATAAGCAACTGACATGAAACTGGGGCTTTCCCCTCATACCATGTGTTAGTCTGTTCCTTTGAAAGCTGTGGACTTCCAGGTTTGTTTTCTGAGAATTCAGGTGGTTTTATTAACATATTACAGTAGAGATGTCTTTGGGACAAAACATCACGGTCTCTTCCTTATCCTGCCCATTTGTGTCTAAAAAAGAAACATGATGATTCACCAAAGTGACAAAATGAACAAACTGTTCCTATAAACTATGGCACAATGATCAGGAAATACTTTTACACTTCACTCTCCAGCAGTCCTGGCTGCTGTTAACTACCATTGGCCTTTCATGTTCTTGAAAATGAATAAATTCAAGAAGAAGGCTACAGCCACAGCTTTCACTTCTGTAGGTTTTGTATTAAAGGAGTTTATGTGATGTTAGTTACTGTATGAAATCTGCAGTACAATCACAGACCAGATGCTTTCCATTGTACATTTAGAGCACAAAGGTTTGCTGTTGGGAAGTTACCTACCATCTGTATCTATAACAGGAGAATAATGTTCAATAACAAATGCTCATTTTAAATCTGGGAAAAAGAGAGCATTAATGTTGAATCAGTATCAGCAGACACAGTGAGGCATCAGAATTTGGTGTATCCCTAATTACAACTTCCAAGTCCATCTGGATGTGAATCATCCAGTCACGAATACCAGCAGAAGCTCAGTATCCTGATAGGTTCTGGGTTGATTCTGGAAACAGTGGCACAACAAACAAAGGCACTTTCAATTTGCTGTGCAGCACCGATTTGTGTCAGTGACTGGCTTCGTCTCCAAACGGTGGCTGAGGCTTATGGGCATCAAAGTATTTAGAGCCACCCGCACTGCCAAACTGACAGAAGTGAGGGTTTCTGTACTTTCTATCTTGAAGCAGCCTCAACGTAGTACATGTACCTTCAGTTTGGACTGAGTTGGTACACATCTTAAGGTTGGTGTGTGGCCACACTACAGTCGGTGTCTGTGAAATAAAATAATAATTTCAGTACAAAATGTGCACCCGCAGCTTTTCAGTGTGTAAAACATTGTGTTATAATATGGTACTGGCTTGTACTGTTCACTGGGGCTACTGAGGAAACAGTTAGTTAACAAGGAGTTGTTTTACAAAATACTTCAGTCCACAGGGATTGAAATTCCTCCCAGCAGGAGAGACGGACATCACTGTGTGTAACACCAAATGTCCTGCGTTTGAAGCGCTATGCTCAGCGTGCCATGGTGAGCAGATTAAATGTGTTCATGGCCCCGACAGCCACTTCACACCTCTCTCTCCTTCGAGGAACCAGTCAGTCCATCTGGACACACCGCTCCTGACAACATTACATCAAATGCAACTTGTAAAGGTTAAACTGTCACTTACATACCTTGGGTGCAGAGAGCAGAAAGGACAGTGTGTAAAGGCTTCCACTTCGAAGAGGAAGCCAGAGCAGCTGAGCAAGAGAAGTGGTTGAGGTGGATTCAGATTGTTGATATTAAGGGACAGGAAAATTAAAATACTTTGTGCACAGTTGGAGCAAAGACACAGACCCTCCCCTGTTCCTCTGCTGCAGGCCTGGGCTTAAATCAAATATGAGCAGGGTATTTATAGCCAGTGACATTTAGGAGATAAAGGTAGTGTGGCAGGACGAGTGGAATGTAGAGCCCAGAGTTGCAATATCACAGATATGGCAGCAGGATTACCTCACCACTGACTTCTGCCCTCAGAGGAAACATACATGCTACGGGTGACTACAGGGTCACCTACAGGGTCACCTACAGGTTTGATGCAAAATTCAAATAAAAGCTGTGACAAAAGAATCACTGCGAATCCAGAGCCCACAACAACTAAGAGAAGCCACCACATGTGGCACTTCTTACTGCAGGTCTTTTGACAAACAGCCTTCAAAACTCCAACTGTCCCTGGAATTTATCACCTCACATCTTTCACTGTACTGCAAAACAGCCTAAGACTTTGCAGCTCCTTGCAAGCAACACAACACAAGGTAAATATTAGAAAACCGTGACATACTTCTCCCCTGAAATTCAACTCAATCAGTACACAAACTGCCTAGGAAAAAGAAAAACTCAACCGGTCTTATTTATCAGCTCCCATCAAGCCTGGACATTTCTGTTCAAGTCCAGTGTCTTACCTCGTCAGTAGTGAGGACATCCTTGTAGACTGGGTTCAGTTTGTTACATTCGCGGTCAGGTGCGGATTTGTTGTCCTCTCATGTCGTGAGGCGTCGCGGCTCAGATGCCCACCGCATCCCCGCTGCAGGCTGCTCCGACACACGGCTGGCACACCCGACCACATCCCAGTCCCCCCGTCCCCT